CCCCTCTAGGATTCCCCCCTCAACCCTAGGCGCAAGGGCCCAAGGGAGGGGGTGCGCCCAGCCCACCAGGGGCTGGCTCCCTGCCCCACGCAGCCCATGTGGTCCCCCGGGAAGGGTGGACCCTCCCGGTGGACCCCCGGAACCCTTCCGGTGGCCCCGGTACAATACCGGTATGACCCCGAAACTTCCCGGTGCCAGTTTGACGACTTCCCATATATAAATCTTTACCTCCGGACCCTTCCGGAGCTCCTCGTGACGTCCGGGATCCCATCCGGGACTCCGAACAACATTCGGTAGTCACATACTAGTCTTCCTAATAACCCTAGCGTCACCGAACCTTAAGTGTGTAGACCCTACGGGTTCGGAAGACATGCAGACATGACCGAGACGCTCTCAGGTCAATAACCAACAGCGGGATCTGGATACCCATGATGGCTCCCACATGCTCCTCGATGTTGTCATCGGATGAACCACGATGTCGAGGATTCGATCAAACCCTGTATACAATTCCCTTTGTCAATCGGTACGTTACTTGCCCGAGACTCGATCGTCGGTATCCCAATACCTTGTTCAGTCTCGTTACCGGCAAGTCACTTTACTCGTACCGTAATGCATGATCCCGTGTCCAACACCTTGGTCACATTGAGCTCATTATGATGATGCATTACCGAGTGGGCCCAGAGATACCTCTCCGTCATACGGAGTGACAAATCCCAGTCTCGATCCGTGTCAACCCAACAGATACTTTCGGAGATACCTGTAATGCACCTTTATAGTCACCCAGTTACGTTGTGACGTTTGATACACCCAAGACACTCTTACGGTATCCGGGAGTTACACGATCTCATGGTCGAAGGAAGAGATACTTGACATTGGCCAAGCTTCTAGCAAAACGAACTACACGATCTTTTATGCTATGCTTAGGATTGGGTCTTGTCCATCACATCATTCTCCTAATGATGTGATCCCGTTATCAACGACATCCAATGTCCATAGTCAGGAAACCATGACTATCTGTTGATCACAACGAGCTAGTCAACTAGAGGCTCACCAGGGACATATTGTGGTCTAAGTATTCACACGTGTATTACGATTTCCGGATAATACAGTTATAGCATGAACAAAAGACAATTATCATGAACATTGAAATATAATAATACTTTTATTATTGCCTCTAGGGCATATTTCCAATAGCTCCGACTTCAAAGCAACCAGGCAACCCACGGAGAAGCACCTTGGACACGCCGGGAAGATCCGACTATCGAAGTCTGAGCTGCGACCCAAGCTCCTCTCGACGCCATCATCGTTGCCAAACAGAGATCCACGCCCCCGAACGACCGCCTCAGCAAACCGCGCGGCGAAGATGCCGCCATCCACCGCGGCGAAGATGCCAGCAACCACTAGTCTCCAGTTGTAGTTGGCTCCGAGACGATGCCCCCAAGGAGGAAGAAGACGTGAAGACGCCTTCATCGCCCAATCACGCAATTTTGAGGTTTCCCTCCGGAGCTAAGGCTACGGGGAGAGGGGAGGAGCGGCACACAGCAGCGACGCTTCCAAGAAAGAACGCGGCGCCCGCGTCGCCGTCTCCCGCAAAGGCCGGAGATAGGATTTCTCCTGGTGAAGCTCGACCACCAACTGCCCGAACCGGCCGACCACGAACCGCCGCCCATCAAACCTCGTAGAGCACCAAGGGGAGCACCTCCAGCCAGTGCCCACCCCCGCTGAGGCCGCCTGCGCGACCATCAGGTCAGCAGCCGCAACGCTGCCAGAACCTGGGCGCGCCCGCCGTTCGACTCCGATCTGGCCGCGGGATCCTCGATCCACCATGACCAGGCACTCACCGCCCCCTGGCCGAAGCCGCCCCCACCAAATCCGGGGCCGCCGCCCCGGCAACCGCAACCCTCCACCGCATGACGGACGCACGACACCAAGCAGAGCCTGAGCACTGGTACCTCATCCCCGACCCACCAGAACAAGCTCCGGGCCGAATCCGCGCAAGCTGCCCCCCCCCTCTACACCGCATCCACGCCAAAGACCAGCGTCCGCAGCCGGGCCAGCCTCCCGATGGGACCAAAACCGGCCGGAGCTGGCCAGATCCGGCAAGCTGCCACATCCGACGACAAGCACTCGGAGGAGCTCGCACAGGAGGAAAAGGGGGCCGCCACCCCACCGAGACCTGCCGGAGGAGAGCCACCAAGCAGCACGAAGGAGGCTCGCCGGCGCCGGCGACGCCATGCCGCGCAGAGGCCGCGGAGGAGCCGAACCTCCCCTGCCGCGAGAGTGCAAATCTAGGCGAGGAATTCACAAAATCGTTGCTACTTCAGGTCGCATTCATCGCATCCCTTTATTCTTGAAAGTTATCGCACCGGCGACGACATATGTATGAAAGCAATGCAGGGGTCTCAAGGAATCAGGGTTTAAGGTCTAGGGGTTATATTTGATAGGATTTTTTTTTCATTGACCCAAACTCATTGGAAAGACCCTTCCTTTGCTGTTTCTACTACAATCAAAACAAACAATTCTTCAAGCTCAGGGATGTATAAATTCAAATCACATTACAGTCCCATCAATGAAATCAAAGAACAGTGCGATGGACGAAAAGCTCATTGGACGACGGATGTATGAAAGCAAAGCAGGGGTCTCGAGGAATCAGGGTTTAAGGTCTAGGATTATATTTGATAGGATTTTGTTTTTCATTGACTCAAAACTCATTGAGAAGACCCTTCTTTTGTTGTTTCTACTGTACAATCAAAACATACAATGCTTCAAGCTCACGGATGTATAAATTCAAATCAACGTCACATTACAGCCCCATCAATGAAATCAAAGAACAGTGCAACGAACGAAAACTTTGTGGTTGTAGGTAGTGGTAGTCTATGTTGTAAATACGAATTATCGCACAAAGTTGATCACGTAAACAAATCATCATAAATTCATAATCCACCATGATGGATCCTAGATGGCAAAAAAATAAATAGACCGAGAACAGCAGGCAAAAAAAGGGATCTCGCACAAATTCATCAGCCCTTCAGTTTAAGGGTTTAGTTGGTTGCTCTATTTTGAAAGTACACGTCCCCCCTTCAACAATTCAGCTTTGTCTGCTTTCCTCTCACTGTCCAACAATGTACAGCTACTAATAGTGGTACAAGGGATCTGATCGGCCATGAAACCAGGCCCGATCCCAACACACTCAACTGAGAATGGTGCAAACCAGACCCACTCCTCAGAGGCTCCAGACGGCGAGGGGCACAAGGTAAAGCTCCTTTGCTCCTCGGGCCGGAGGGGGAGTGGATGGCAGTTCTCGAGGCGGCGGCCGAAGGCGCGCTAGTACCCAGGCTTGCGTTTACACCCTCACACCCACTGGAGCTGCCCTTGATGCTCCACACAATGGCGGATGTCGCCGTCTACGGCGACCGTTTGCTTCCTCATCGCTAGAGCGGTTGGTCTCGTGTTGTATTTCACCTGGAACCTTCCAGCGGGGCTCCCGTCGTTGTTGTTCGAGCTTTCGGGGAGGACCTCGTCCAAGAACTCGTCGGCGACGTCGCCGTCTTCGTCAATTCTTAGCCTCCTTGTATACCACCGGAAGCCCTGGTTGGATGAGGACATGGCATGAATAAATTCGTATTCAAACAACACGATGGAAACAACAAAATCTCAGGTAGTTTACAACATATCAGGAATTTCACATTTTCCATGATACGAAACAAACATTTTAATGTGTTGATAGCACAACCATCCAAAAAAAAGAACAATTGATGGGTAACAACTGACATCCCGTATTGCATCACTAGAGAAAACGGTGATGTGTTTTGTCATTTCCTCGTCAAGAGTAGGCAAATAACACCAAATATGGTAGCTACAGTGTACAGAAAAACCATGGGCTTGTACAACATACAGAATACTCCACATACACTCTTTTTAAGATCTTCCCACCCACCCATGGACTAACCCAAAGAGTAAGCGCTCACACATGTACGCACACAAAGCTAGTCTGGTGTCCTACAACAGATTTGGTGATCAGTAATCCCTGAATGCTATCTTCTAATTCCTGGCGTTCAATACCACAAATATTTTATGCAACTTGCAGAATAAGGTATATTAGAATAACTGTGGCCCTTGATCCAATGTCGGACCTGGGCAGATAACAAATTATTAAACCACATGTGTGACCTTTATGCTTAGAATGGACATGATCACTTGAATGACATATGAATATGATGCATATCCAAACTCATATTTGTAGAAGTTATATCAACCATGAGTAATCGTAGCAGCAGCCAGATTTCCAAGTCCACATCAAACTTTGGAGAAGTGTCTAGGCACCACTCGTGATGGATTTGGGAAATTCTGTACATTATGCATTTGTGTACACTCCAGTGCAAGAAGAGTGCACTCTCCAGGCCTAGTGCTAGGTCTAATTCATCATTTAATGGTGACACGTGACAGTTACTCATATCCACTATCCAATACCATAGACTATCACATAAATTACAAAAACGATAATATCGTATCCGCAGCAAAAAAACATTTTTAACAAAAAACAGGGAAACAGCTCTATTTGCACTAGGCACTGTGAGGTGCATCTCTGTCCTGGGATTACTGTAGGACATCACCAGTAACTGCTCAAGGATCAAACAAGGGGCGCTCCCAGACTAAACACTATCAAAATCAGAACCAAAAGGTCTATTTCCATATAACACATTACACATCACATAATACCAGAGTCAAATCCGATGATAGAGTAGGCTAAATGGTCATACCAGACTAAAAGGATTCACATCCCGAAGTGACTCTTAAAAGAGAAATAGGACGACAACATACTGAAGGACGACAACATACTGAATAGACAACTAAAATTGTGCTTTTGAGTTAAATAGACCATAATTGCATAAACTATCAACGCTCAGCAAACTAACATTGAATACCAAAAAAACAAAAATGGGTAAACTCATCATGAGGTAATTATCCCATTTGGCCCTTGCCATTATCAAAAAAGTATTGGTGGAGTATTAATTGCACAATTCCTACAGCCACTAGAAAAACACCTAAACCAACAGGTCAACAGCGACCACCAGATGAGCAATTCCATTAGCTAGGACCTAGAGCTGGTAATTTTGAATCACTACTGAGCTTGGATAAGTACCAAAAGCAAAAAGGACTCGAATTCCAAAAAATGCTTAGCTAAGCTGACATCCAGGCCGCTCATCGAGCAGCCTATGGACAAAGATGCCCTGCAGATTTGTTACACAGTACAAGCTTCCGTGGCAAGCTCAGTGACTTCTTGGCCATGATCTTAGGCCAGTGCTGCCAATTCTTGCTAAACCAAGATGTGGTCCTGTTTCTAAGCAGGTGCCTATGGAGGCCGGCATAGGCATGCCATCAACACACCCCACTGAAGCAGTCACATCAAGCAGAAGCAGAAGGAAGGGTTTAGAAACAAGAGCAAGTCTGAGGCGCAGGAGTTACTTGCGCGGACATGTGTTTTTTTGGACGTGAAGCCAAAGCTTGGAAAAGGAAAAGAGTTGTGCAGGCCTCATAGAAATTGTGGACTTCAATTTCAAGAGTCCATTGCCAACTTGGTCCATCACGGCACTAGAACGCCGTATGAAGAATGCGGAGAACGTGAACAAGAATAAAAACAAGAAGGTTACCGCCAAGGGGAAGGCAACCACAACTACCTGATTGATGCCACTCAGTGCTTTGTGTCATCAGCATAGAATTTGTAGTGGTAGTTCTCGTCAATGGGTTGGTTTCTCGGGTTTTCATTTAGTCATTGTGGGCAGTTAGATGATGCTAGTACCATGTTTCGTGGGCCTGCATGTATGGTGAGCTGGGGGACAAGGTGCGCCTATACGATGGTCAATGGTGCTACGCTCGGAATGTGGCCAAGTAGGTGCGGCCGGCGACCATTGTTTCTCTTTTTAGGAGTAGTCTGCAAGCCATGTAAGTGGATGTGTTTGTAACAAAATTTAATCTTTACATAATGAATGCACAGAGGTCCTGCTGGTATCTCTAAAACATGATAAAGTATGCCTACCAGATTAAATAAGTACTATTAAACTAGAAAAAGAAACGGGCAATCAGATGAAACGAGTTAAGCTTGTAGAAGAGTGGCTACGTAATTGATCAATAACCAAATGAATTTGAACTCTAAAGATATACACCTGCCTTAATATGTTCTAAACAATTGGTATCTCGAACTAAGTTTTGAAGTGATGAAGTCATATACTTCCTCATGCATCCAACCGATGGCACGATATCCTACCTTCTAATGGAAAATATCTCAGTGTAAACCCCATGCACAGCATAATCTATCAGACACATTGTTTGGCCCCAAATGAACAACATAAGTTTTAACACGAATGATCCGCATTGCTTATTTTCCGGGTGAGCTCCTTTCCAAACCCTCCGTAACAGTCAGGTACAAAGTTCACCAATACATGCTAAAGCTCCCCTCTTCTGAGTGACTAGCAAAATATGTTGGCGTTATTTCTTAACCATTTTGCAGCTTCCCTCTATTGCAGTTAAAAAAAAGGCATCACTGTGCTAAACCGACTAGCCACGTTGCCCAAGTCATGACCAAGAAGGAAACATCTTTTGGCGGTGGACTAAATATAATCTTCACAAAGTTGCACAAGGAACCTACACCCACACAACCTGAAATTGATGGGGGAAAAACTGCAGCACCAGGACCAGGAGCTAGTATCCATAGTCGCCTGCCAATACCAAACTCTAAAAACGTACAGCTGCACTGCAATTGTCGGAACAGGAGAAAAGGAGAACAGACGCCCTAAAACCTAAAGTTTGCATAAGCACGCAAAGCAAACCCACGGCATGAAGCTAAAAGGCAGTACAAAACTGGCACAGACGTCAGCCAAGATTGGATTCGTCCAAGGCGCCGCCATCTAATCGCAGCATATGCGATGCTGTGACGGAGAAGATCCTCGGAGCCAGAGATTCCCGCCATCGGAGCTACTGCTCGAACTCATCAACTCAGCAATTCGGCGAGCAATCATACATTTCAACTAGCAGTACAGTAGAAAGGTAAAAAAAGTAAGAGCTCTACCAAGATCTCACGCGCTAGTGAATATACAAGACCTACGAGGAGCAGCGGAACTACTGGCAGCACGCACGTCACCGCGTAGTACAGGGGGGTTGCAGTTGCAATCCGGCATACCTGGACGCCGCCGTCTCCCGCGGGGCAGGGCGCCAGCACGGGCCCGGCCGCCGGCCGGTCGACTGGCACGGGCACCTGCACGCTGAATCCGCTCCTAGTAGCGTGCCCGGAGGCCGCCGCCGCGGCGGCGGCGGCGGCCACCTTCTCGTGCGGGACGTCCCCGCCGCCGCCGCCGGCGTCGTCCCTGGAGCCGCCGA